CGCCCCTGCCAGCACTGCTTTGGCTGTGCCCACAAAGTTTGATATGCAGTGTTTTTATTTTCATTTAATTCAACAGATTTTCATTATTTTTCTTAATGCTTCCCCCTTGATCCATGGATTATTTTGAAGTATGTTCTTTGATTTCCAAGTGTTAGGAGATTTTTGTGTTGTCGTTATTATTAGCAGTTTAATTCCAGTGTGATTAGAGAAAATACTCTGTATTATTTCAGACCCTGTAGTTTTGCTGTTTGTTTTATGATCGAGGATGTGATCTAAATTGATACTTGTTTCTTGTTTTTGTTGTTGTTGTTAAGTACCGTGGAGTCGGTTCTGACTCATAGTGACTCTGCACAGGGTTTCTGAGGCTGCAGATCTTTACGGGAGCAGAAAGCATCATCTTTCTCCTGCAGAACAGCTGGTAGTTTCGAACTGCTGACCTTGAGGTTGGCAGCCTGACTCATAACCAACCACTACGCTACCAAAGTGTTCTATAATGTTGATTAGATCCTGCTGGCTAATGGTGGTGTTGAATTCTTCTGTATCCTTACTGATTTTTTGTCTAATGTTGTTATCAACTGTTGAAAAGGGGGTTAAAGTTTCCACGTATTCTGGTGTATTTGTTTTTTCAGCTCTGTTGTTTGGTGTTTAAACATTCAGGATTGCTTTCTTCTTGGTGGATTAATGTTGTTGTCATCATTTAAAGTCCCTCTTTGTCTCTGGTAATTTTTGTTGTTCTGAAATCTGTCTGATGTTACTGTAGTCACTTCTGCTTTCCTTTTAATACTATTTACATCCAGGTTTTTTCTGTTGTTGTTGTTGTTTTTCATTCTTTTATTTTCAACCTGCTCATATTATTAAATTTTAAGTGAGTCTCTTGTAGACAGCATATAGTTGGATCGTGTTTTTAATCCATTCTGCCAATTTTTATCTTTTAATTGATGTATTTAGACCACTTACATTTAAAATAAATTTCATGATATTAGGATTTAAGGCTGCCATTGCTCTTGTTTTATTGTATTTTCTGGTTGTTCTTTTAGTTCTTGTTACTCCTCTGCTGAGTGTGTGTGTGTGTTTTTCCCCCTGCCTTCCTATGGGTTACTTGAATTTTTATTTGATTTATGCCTAGTGTTTTGAGTTTTACTTTTTTATCACTCCTATTCATTGTCCTTTCACCAAAGATAATCTCACCTATTTGCCTCTGGTAGCGTAGTGGTTACGACTCGGGCTGTGAACCGCAAGGTCAGCAGTTCGAAACTACCAGCTGCTCCGCGGGAGAAAGATGAGGCTTTCTACTCCCGTAAAGATTTACACCCTCGGAAACCCTGTACAGGGTCGCTATGAGTCGGTTCCGACTCCACGGCACATAACAACAACAACAACAACAATTTGCCTTTTATCACCAAATTTAATTGTGCCTGTTCTTGAATCATATAGGACTTAGATATAGTATGGTATGTGTGTGTTTGTACCAAGTTTCTTTTGCTCAGTGTTATATTTGTAAAATCAATCCATGCTAAGGAGCCCAGTTAGTGCAGTGGATTTCTAGCTGGACTGCTAACCACAGTTCATTAGTTCGAATCTACCAGTCACTCGAGGGGAGAAAGATGAGGCTTTCTGCTCCCATAAAGATTTACAGCCTTGGAAACCCTAGAGAAGAGGGGTCACTATGAGTTGGAAGTGACTCCAAGGCATGCAGCCGCCACCATTAAGTGTAATAGTAGTTCATTCATTTTCATTTTTGGTGAGTAGTTATTTCATGGTATAAATATGACACAGTTTATTTAGACTTTGTACTGTTGATCGGCATTTGTGATTATATCATCATGAATATTTCTGTATTTGTCTTTGGGTAATATGTACTCTCATTTTTATCTGTTGTATTCATAGGAGTGGAATTATGCATGTTAAACTTTAGTAACTGCTGTTAGACTATTTCTAAAATGGTGCACTAACTGACACTCTCACGTATAATTGCTCCACATCCTTGTCAAACATAGTGTTGTTGGGATTTTTACTTAGAGCATTTTTTGTGTTTTCTGGTAGTATCTTACTGTGGCTTTTATTTTAATGCTCATAATAATGAGCTCCTTTTCTATGTTTTTTGGCTCGTTGGTATGCCCTCTTTTCTAAAGTACCTTTTCTTGTCTTGTGCCAGCTTCTTGTGAATGATTTGTAGGAGTGTTTTATATAGTCTGGGTGTATGTTCTTTGTCAGAGATGTGTATTGCAAATCTTTTTTATCTATGGCTAGCTGTTTCATCCTGTTCATAGTACCTCTAATGAATCACATACACCCTGTCTTAACTCCTTTGTGCTGCTATTACAGGAATGCCACCAGTGAATGGCCTTAACAAGTAGAGATTGTTCTCTCACAGCTTGGGGTGCTAGAAGGCCAAGTTGAGAGTACTGTCTATGGAGAAAGGCCCTTGTGTCCTTTCAGTGTTTGTAGGCTCCAGTTCCTCGGAGATCTCCAGGTGTCTTGACATCGGTTTTCCTTCTGGATCGAGGAGCATCCCAGTGCAGGGACCCAGATCCAAAGAATGCACTCCACTCCTGGCTCTGCTTTGTTGGTAGCAGTGGGTCTCTCTGCTCACTTCTCTCGCCTTTTATATCTCAAAAAAATTGACTCAAGATTTAGCCTAATCCTGTAGATTGCATCAAACTTCATTAACATAACAGAAATGAGGATTCACAGCGTTTACAACAATAGGATAATCACATCCGATCAGGGCTGATTGATGCCAACTCATAGAGACTCTGTAATGAATAAACCCACACCAAAACACATTGCCCTGGAGTCCATTTCAGCTCATAGTCACTCTATGGGGACAGTAGGATGGCCCTGCATGGTTTCCAAGACTGTCATCTGTACAGAAGCCAACTGCCAAGGAGCAGGTGATGGATTCAAACTGCCAACCTGTGGTTAGCAGCCAAGAGCTAAGAGGAAGACCCACAATGAGATGGATTGACACAGAAGCTGAAACAATGGGCTCAAACATAGCAACGATTGTGAGGTCCAAGCAGTGCTTCATTCCATTGTACATAGGTAGGGTTGCTATGAGTTGGAACCAACTCAATGGCACCTAACAACAAGAGCAAAAGTATTAGAAATTTCTCTTATTTTGATTTATGTTAGAATAATAAATATATGTGTAAGCAATGTAAATATGTGCTTAGGGCATCAATCACACAGAGGTACCAGCTGTCCAAAGGGAAGACCCGTAAATGCCAAACAGGGCACATCAGATCATATTCTGATGTTGATTGATCATATAAGAGCTCATCATGGAGATGATGAAAAAAAACTAAGGATCACAGTGAAAGGGAGCTAGCTGGTCACGAAATGAAACTGGTACCAGCTCCAGTATATGGAGGATCTTGTCAGCCAGAAGTAAAGTTCACACCAGTCATGGGGGCTCCCACATGCAACACCTTCACTGACAACAGTCTCCAGTGTAATTAAAATGCCGTATCTTGGTGGATCTCTTGAAAGAATATTCTTTTTTTTCTAATAAACAAGAAATGGGGATGGGTTGTTGAGTGTCACTATTGCTACATTTACACCATGTGAAGCTGGACCCAACATAAGCAACTGGGCAAGAATAGATTCTACTAATAGAGAATAGATCTTTGATCCATTTTGAGAGAATTGTCTTATACATCTCTATCTGCTGATCCAGCAGTTCCATCCAGGAGGGCTGGCTCTTTGCCATGATGCCAGCACAAAGGTGTGCTCTTGCTGATGTCCTAGTAAACAACCAATAGGAATTCCAGTCCCAGATGATAAGTAAGAGTGAGGGAATTCAATAAGTTCACCACTGCAACTTAATCAAATTACTTTTAAACTGATAGTTTTTATAGAGAGTTACATCCTAAGTTTTATAAACAATAGTATTTTTAACTGTAACTTTAAAGTATGTTTGGCATGTGCATGGATGCAATGTAATATATGTTTAATATTATACTAACATATATATACAGTATAATATACATATATATTATAATATTATACAACAACATAATGTTAACATAGGAAATGTTGAAAACTACTAGAAATGTCAATGTTTATCTAACATGAGACACTTTCATTTATGCCTCAAGTGAGTTTTGGTTTTACTGTCTGTTGTGTGGGATGTAGCACTTGATATTACTTGGTATATGCTGATGAAAGCTAAGAGAATACAGAATTCAGTATTTATTGTGCAAAATACGTTTCTGTTTTGCAACAATGAGTGTGTTTGTAGATTTGTCTTCTCAATAACAGTAGGTATCTATCAAAACATTACATACATTTTATCAGAATATTTACCTATCTTCCTGTACAATGCCTCTAGGAAATAGAATAATATTTAGATAGTAAAATTCCATAGATGTATTTTATTTTTCATTTCCCTTTTGACTAACTTTCTGTTAAGAAATTGGTATTACTAAAAAGTTGCCTTATGGATAGCTAACCCACATTCATTTGTGTGTGTAAACCTCCTATATATAGCCTATAAGCAGTGTGAGGAAGCAGAGACAAGGGCACCACTCAGTACCATTGCTTAGGGCCCTCACCTGCCTTACTGTGGCCCTGCATGTGTCAGGTTATACATATCATCTCAAAGCTACATATATAGAGAAATTGTTGTTGATACGTGCCATCAAGTTGGTTCGACTCTTAGTGACCCTATGTAAGGTTTACAAGGAACAACTAGTGAGATTGAACCACAGACCTTACAGTTCAAACTGACTTAGCTTTCCAGTGCATTAAGCCACATTGCACACCCTCTCCATATATAAATTGTTTTAATAAATAAGAATAAAAAACTTCTGAAAAATAATTGTAAAAGAATATCTAATGACTAACTACAGTGTTCCTACTATACCTAGTAGTATACTTATTGCACATTTATATTGTCATAGCTGAACTACTAATTACCGGGGCTGTTTCATCATTTATCATGGCAATATGTCAATGATTTGACTACTTTTTGTTATTATTATTATTTTTTAATCCAGAGTTTAACACAGATGTTATTGACATTTTGAGTACTCCAGAAAGCAAGAATCCAGTTCCCCAGACTGAAATTTTTGAGGAGGTTATTCATCACGACCACCCTTCTGTTTCCAATCCATTTCAGAAAGAAATGTTCACCTATTTGGTAGAAGGATTCAAAGTATCTATTGTAAGTAAATTCATTCATTGTCAAGTGTTCATTCGCACAAAAAGATTAGAAATTATATGTGCCTGTATCCTGTATCCAGAGTAATCTTGCTTTGTGCCTTTCACAAGGTTTTTACAAACATAGACAACTTGAATTTTTAATAATGGCACAATCTATATTGTAAATTCACCCATTCCAAAAGTGCCTTTTAAATTCACATTCTGGGACTTATTTTTTAATATAGTCATGTCAAATCAGCATTAGAAGAGTGTTGGACTTTGTGAGAGTTTAAATTCATAGACTGTTTTGTTTTTTATTGTGGTAAAATTCACTTAACATAAAATTCACCACTTCAACCGTTTGAAAATGTTTCATTCAGTTATTTTAATAAGTACATTCACAATCGAACACAACCATACTCCTGTCTGTTGTAGTTGTTAAATGCCATTAAGTCGGTTCCGACTCATAGTGACCCTGTACAGGATTGCTGAGGAGTAGCTGGTGAACCAAACTGAGATTCAAACTGACCTTGTGGTCCAGCACATTCACCCACAGCGCCACGCTAGGACTCCAAGAGCCTTTAGGACAGGCCATTTCTAAACCTCATAATAAACTAAAATGTGTTGATTCCAGTTTTAAACCAGGTCCTGGCAATTTAATCCAGATAGGACTAGACTTCATGACACCTCCGTTGAAATAGCCAGTTTGGTTACTTGTTAGAGGATATTGATGACCAGGATATAGGCAGTTCTTAATTTGTGACTGTATTTTAGTACTAATTTGAGTCTTTAGTAGGAATCCTTCCTCTTTTATATTACAAAATCACTCTGGGCTTTCCTATGATAACTAAATTTTCTTACTCTTTTCTTTTAATTTATTTATATTTTCCAAACCTTCAGTAATTTTTTAATGACTTTGAAATTTGACTTTTTCTTCTCTTTTTTTTTTCTTCTCTTTTAAACCCCTACTTGTATAGATCTGTATTTCCAATTTTTACTTTAAAAAATTTTAGGATAAAATACATTCCATTATATTGCCCACCACAACTGCCTAGGGCTGATTGATTACTGTATTCTCGCATAAGAAGTCTCATCCTCTTTCATTCCTGTTTTGATTCAAGGGTTCAAGTAAAACCAGTGGGTCTAAACAGCAGTGGACTAAAATCCTGTGGTCTTGTAAGGAGACCTTCCGGATGCAGCTTGGGAGACTGCTCGTGCATATTTTGTCGCCAAGCCACCCATCACAGGAAAGAAAGCAAATTTTTGAAATCGTTCGTGAAGCAAATCACCAGGAAATACTGCGAGACTGTCTCAGCCCATCCCTGCAAGTAAGCATGCCAGCATTTAGTAAGATAAGTAAAAGCTGTTAGTGAACTACAAAAGAATATGAAGCTGGGACTGAAAAGTGACTGTCTTTGTATTTTCATGCCTAACATCATGCAATACAGTTCTTTTACCAAACAGTTTTCATAGAAGAGACGTCTGCAGCTGCTCACCTGTCAGTCTCAACTTGACCTCTGTTTCCTTCCAATCTTTTCCAAATGCTTAAATTAACTAGTACTGTTTGTGAGTTTTTGTAAGAACTTTTGTAGTTAGTTACTAAATCTTGAGTGATTGTTTCCTTCAAAAACTGTTTGGGAACTTTTATTTTTTTAAATATAACTCTTTTGTTGTTTTTACATTAAATATAAAAGTACTACTATTTTGTGTTATAAATGGAGGACCAAGCAAGAAGAACTTTTCCTTCTCTGATAGCTCCTTCAGTTTATTCTGAGTTGAATCTTCAGGACAGAACACTTAGTGCCCCCAGGCAAGGATGGTGGCAGTTTCCTTCGTGGTCCTTCCCTTCTTCTCTCTTAATTCTCTTTTATTGTAAAGTTGATTAGACTCTTTTTAAGAAATGGAATTTCCCACCACAAGAAGGAACTCCTAACCTAACCACAGAATAACCCGGACTCCCCTTCCCAGCCCCCAACCCCTACTGCTCCCTCATAGAAAAAATCCCATCTTTCTCCCTTCCCAGACATGCATGCGCTCTGTCTGGATAGCTATACCTAATGGACAAACACTCCGATTAAATGGAAACAGTGGTTATGTTTCCCCAACCCCCTCCCACTAAAGTGTTAGTCTTCAAGAAAGCTTCAATGATAGGGGAAAAAAAGGGGGCGGGTTATAGTTAGGGAATTTTTTAAGAAGTATATTACCCAGGTAATGTGTGTACAAAATAGTTAAAACAACTGTATTTACTAATCATTTAAAAATTTTTAAAACAACTTGATCATTGTTATGACCAAGAGCAGAATTGTTAAAAGAATATTGCAATCTATACATTCTATCACTTCAAGAGTAATGTTTATTGTAGTTCAGTATCACAGAGTTAGTTCTGACTCAGAGATACTCAGGGTATCCAAAGAGCAGCTGGTGGGTTTGAACCTTACAGTTAGCAGTCCAGAGCTTATCATACAGAGCCACACCAGGACTCCTCAAGAGTCCTAGATGGACATTTACATAGAATAACTACTTCAGAGAACTACTACAAACAACCCAAAGGCCATCAACAGTAGAATATATAAACATTCTGATTATTTATGCAATAGACTATTATATATACAGTAATAAAAAGGAAAATAGCTACAATTGCACCTAATGCCTGTATCCTAAAAAAATAAAAAGAGCACATATTCTATGACTCCATGCATATGAAGTCTAAGACTAGGGGAAACAAACTAAGATGTGGTGACTAGAAGTCAGGATATTAGTGTCTGTGGAGAGGAAAGGGGTGAGAGAGAAATGGACTAAATAGGAAACAAAGGAATTCTTGGGGTGATAAAAATGTACTTTGTCTTATTTTGGGTATTGGTTACATGTGTATATGTAGCTATCAAACGCATAGAAATGAACACTAAGTATTAGTTCATTTTATTGTTTGAACTGTAGTGCTGTTGTGTGTCTTTAAGGAGATTTTGATGCATAATGACCCTATATGGCAGAGTACAAATGCCCTATAGAATTTCTTTAAGGAGAGTCCTGGTGTGACGCTGAAGGTCAATGCACTAGACTACAAAGTCACTTTGAACCACAAATGTCAGTGGCTCAAGCTCACCATACAGGGTCACTCTGGGTCGGAACTGACTCAATGGCACTTAACAGCAACAACATATCTTTATGAAGTGCCGTCAAGTTGGTTCTGACTCATAGTAACCCTGTATAGGATTCCGAGGAGCCATTGGTGGGTTTGAACAGCTGATCTTATGGTTAGCAGTCCAGGGCTTATCCTACAGCACCACACCAGGACTCCATACATTAAAAACACACATAAAAACATGCATTATTGTAGACCTTCTCAACAAAACAAAGATCACAAACTAAACACACTTCTGCAACATACTTTATTACTTGTTGTTGTTGTTAAGTGCCGTTGAGTCGGGTCCGACCCATAGCGACCCTGTACAGGGTTTCCGAGGGTGTAAATCTTTACGGGAGTAGAAAGCCTCATCTTTCTCCCGCGGAGCAGCTGGTAGTTTCGAACCGCTGACCTTAAGGTTCACAGCCCGATTCGTAACCACTACGCTACCAGAGCTCCTAAAGTAATAACTTTATTACTTAACATCACATAAATCCTAGAGGATATGCCATAGTAGTATATGAGGGCATTCAAAAGTTCATGGGGAAATGGAATTAGCAGATAAAAATTTTAAATATGAGCTTTATTCACCAACATGAGTTCCATCAAGTTCAAGACTCTTTGTAAATGATGATGCCAGCTATTTAGTCCACCCTGAGAACTTGAATTCTTTGAAGAAAAATGTGGCATCAGGATTGGAGCAAGACGCATTAACAACCTGCAATATGCAGATGATACAACCTTGCTTGCTGAAAGTGAAGGAGGACTTAAAACATTTACTGATGAAGACCAAAGAGCATGGCCTTCAGTATGGATTGCATCTCAATGTCAAGAAAACAAAAGTCCTCACACTGGACCAATAAACAACATTCGTATCAACGGAGAAAAGATTTAAGTTGTCAAGGACTTCATTCTTCTTGGATCAACTATCAATACTCATGGAAGCAGTAGTCAAGAAATCAATGTATTGCATTAGGCAAATCTGCTGCACAAGACTTTTTTAAAGTCTTGAAGAGCAAAGATGTCAGCTTGAAGACTAAGGTGCACCTGAACCAAGCCATGGTATTTTCAGTAACCTTGTATGCATGCGAAAGCTGGACAGTGAATAAGGAAGACCATAGAAGAATGGATGCTTTTGAGTTATGGTGTTGGAGGAGAATATTGAAAGTGCCGTAGGCTGCCAAAAGAACCAACAGATCTGTGTTGGAAGAAGTGCAGCCAGAGTGTTCCTTGGAGGCCAAGATGGCCAAACTTGGTCTCTCATACTTCGGACATATTGTCAGGAGGGACTAGTCGCTATCAGGTTTGGTGAGGTGGAGCGTCAGAGAAGAAGAAGAAGACCCCTAACGAGATGGATTGGCAAAGTGGCAGCATCGGTGGGCTCAAGCGTGGCAACAATTTTGAGGTTGGCCCAAAATCAGGCAGTGTTTCGTTCTGTTATTCTTAGGGTTGCTACGAGTTGGCACCGACTCGATGGCACCTAGCAACAACAAGCTTCTCCTTAGAAACCCGATACAAGGTCACTATGGGTCAGAAACGACTCTATATCCCTCCACAACAACAAAGAACTGAGGGTCCTGAGAATTTAATTATGTCACTGTTGTCTTTTTTTATACTGCTAACTGAAGGAAAAAATGGTGTCCTTTGTAGAATTTTAAGATTAGGAAACAAAAAGGAGCCAAATCAGAACTTTCAAGTGGCTGCCTAAAGTTTTCCCATTGAAATAATCACACAGTTGCCCTTGTTTGATGGTGGGGATGAGCCCCGGGGCATTGTAGTGGTGAAGAAGGACCACGATGAAGCTTTCCTGGCCTAACACTTTGGCTAACTTTCTCAAAGCACTCTCAGAATGTTGTTGTTGTTGTTAAGTGCCGTCGAGTCAGTTCCAACTTACAGCGTCACTGTATAGGGTTTCCGAGGAGCTGCTGGTGAGCTTGAACCACTGACCTTGCAGTTCAAACTGACCTTACAGTGGAGAATATTAACCCACAGCGCCACACCAGGACTCCACTCTCAGAATAAGTAGATGTTATGGTTTGGGGCCCTCCAGAGAGCCAAAAGCCTGCTGTTGTCATGACTTTGCTCTTCACTGGTCTACATTTGCTGTCACTGGACCACTTCCACCTCTTGGGAACCATTGCTTTGATTGAGTTTTGTCTTCAGGACTGTTCTGGGCTGCTTTTTTCTCTAAAGCACTGTCCCATAAATGTTTTCTAAAGCATCAGTGATTTCACCATTCTTCCACTCTAGCTTCACTATAAATTTGATGTTTATTCTTGCTTAAATTTTAGCAGAATTTGTTTTATGTTCTGGGAGAGGCTCTCCAAAATGATGCCTTCTTAGTGCTTCAAACTAGATTTGTTCAGACATAACAAGTGTGTTGTTGTTGTTAAGTCGATACCAACTCATAATGATCCTCCATAAGGGTTCTGAGGAGCAGCTGGTGAGCTTGACTCACCAACCTTGCGGTTCAAAGTGACCTTGCAGTCCAGTGCATTAACCCACAGCACCACACCAATACTCCTATAACAAGTTCTTGTTATTGTTAAGTGCTATCGAGTCGGTTCCTACTCATAGCAACCCTGTATAGGGTTTCCAAGGAGCAGCTGATGCGCTTGAACTGCTGACCTTGCAATTCAGATGGCTGTACAGTCTGGCACATTAACCCACAGCACCACACCAGGACTCTGACCTTGAGAATTGCAGCCTAACTCACAACCACTACGCTACCAGAGCTTCTTTATAACAAATTTTTGTTGTTGTCAGGTACAATCGAGTCAGTACTGACTCCTAGCAACCTTATGCACACCAGAACAAAACACTGCCTGATCCTGGGCCAACCTCACCACTGTTGCCACACTTGAGTCCATCGATGCTGCCACTTGGCTAATCCATCTTGTTGGGATCTTCCTCTTTTTTCTGACCCTCCACCTTACCAAACATGATAGCCTTCTCCAACAACTAGTCACTCCTGACAATATGTCTGAAGTATGAGAGACGAAGTTAGGCCCTCTTGGCCTCCAAGGAGCACTCTGGTTACACTTCTTCCAAAACGGATGTATTGGTTCTTTTGGCAGCCATGGCATTTTCAATGTTCTCCTTCAACACCATAACTGAAAAACATCAATTCTTCTATGGTCTTCCTTATTCACTGTACAGCTTTCGCATGCATATGAGGTTATTGAAAATACCATGGCTTCAGTC